GGAAAATTATTCATATGCACTTTCCTAATCAGTTGTACACAGACCTTTGGACACGTTTACCTGTTTTAATCAAATACATACAATATGCCTTTAAATAGATTTCGCCAGCAGTTTCTTTTATTAGTTAAGATCCAATTAACCATATAAAAAAGCTAGCGAGAAAATTTGCATACAATAACCAGATATTACGATAAAACGTTTTTCACAAAGTGTGAATAGTTGTCAGCTCTGTCCTAGTTTCGCTGTCGATCCAGTGCCAACCAGCCTGCAGTAGATCTAAGTTAATTGTGTAGGCAGCACTTAAGAGCTTTTGATCAAGCATATCATTTGCACCAGGCTCCGGTCAACTTGAGACAAACTCTTGACTTCATTGAACTTGCGGCCTTCTCGGCTGTGCTAAGGCGCTTCACTTCTGTCCACACATCCACGGCCCTGCCTGATCAGCATGACTTGGTTACGCTCCAGTCTAATAGCCACTACGGGATCACTTTGCCGACTCCTTTTCGCTGCAAATGTGGCTTGAGTGGTGCTTGGCCGACCGTGACAGCCACATGGACTCTGCAACTAACTTGCACTTAAGCCGTGGCTGTGGCCCTGGCCGATTTTATCAGATCTTGAATCCTTTTCAGGATTTCTACCGCCGTCCGAACGAGGCCGAAACTCGATGCAAAACTTTTATCAGCTGTGCCGCAAATTGAATTCAATTACTTGGCGAGGCTTTCCATGCGTTTCATTGTTGGTGACTTGGCAACATGACCTAGGATCGCCAAATCAACCCAATTCGACTATCCTCTTATCAGAGTATGACCGTTTGTTGCGCACTCCTCTTCTTGACTTAGTGTTGCTGTTAATTTGTGCTCAGGATTATATTTTGCTCTAGGTGAGTCTGGTTCATGGTATATGTGAAACCAATACTCGGGACTGTTTTCCTAAGGGCCGGAGCGTTCTGAACACTTATATGCCCAAATAACCACCCAACAAATCAAGGATAATCTTCCTTCAACTTCTAAAAAAGCCCTCCAGTCCAAACATTCATCGTGCATTCTAAAAAAAATGGGGACCGATAATATGATGTTGATTTTTCCCGACACCTTTTCTACATTGCTTCTGTTAAAATGGACTTATTTTTAAATACTCGGAGAAATAATAATTTTATTTTTATCCAGTCTTTTTTTAAGCTAGCTGAAAATACAGCACGTTTTATGTAGCTTTTTCAGAGTAGACCGCGGGAAAATATCTTCCATCAATATTTTGTAACCATTCATTTCATTTCTTATGCAATTATTAAAGACGCAGACTTGAATACCAGTCTTTGCTTCCTTGGCAATTCCCAACACGACCCCCTTTGAACCCAGATGTCCTTGAACGCCATAAACTATTCACAAGAACTCGTAGTCAAGATGACTAGGTGGACCTTTTTAGAACTTAACTTTAATTTGCTTGTCCTTTTTTTCTCACCTGGAATTAGTTACTAATACGTGGTTCATGCAAAATTATGCCCTTATGTACCTCAGAGAAAGTAAACAACACGATTTCCAATAGGTATTTTTATTTAGCCTTTAATAGTTAATACACCTCGTTGAGATTCTGTAAAGTGATAACCGAAAGAAATATCGACACCTTGCATTTCAGTATCAATTTATCTCCATAGGGATGGACTAAGTATCACTATAACTTATTAGTTTAATATTTGTACAACCTTTGATCAAGAGCTTTGAACAATTAAAATTAATTAATTATTTCAATACGGTCCATCAACGTTTTTGGCTGATCCTGGAATTGTTTCCCCGATCTCTTCATATACACATTACACTATGCAGCTTTATGTTATCAAGAAGTGGGTTGGTTGTTTTTGCAACTTGGTCGTGCTGTCAGGGCGACTTATTTGGATGCTATTGTCTGAAGTCCTCTGCTATAGTAGTTATCATAATTCCCAGCTTCGGACGTGGACTTGGTACATTCCCAGACGCTTCGCTGGCATCGTAGTCTGAATGATCACTGATCCTTGCCATTCTCAGCACCAAGCTACAACTCGGCAAAGAGACAAATGAATAAAATTCCTTGGTCACCTGTCTGCAGAAACAGTTGTCCTATCACTCCTCTTTCTGTCCTATCTATCTATTCACTACATTTTTATCACACTCAAACCCTATCAGACTTCTGACTTGGGTATATTCTACTCCTTAAGACGTGCGCCATATGTCATAGCAAGTTTAGTGTGGCGCCATCACACCTGTTTACCTACCTGCGCCACATATATGGATCTTCCTCATATGCCCGTAGATCTGTTTCTTATCTTCCTGGTTGCGTCTAAATAATTTGCCCTGAATACACGTTCAAGTTGCGAAAACAAACTCAGTCCACTTCTATACATCGAAAGTAGACTACGACCATACTATTGACCACGCTAACTTGGTCTTCATATCTTCTATGTTCTCAACTTAGTTGAATAATTATCGCACGACTATTACTTTGAACTCATAATTGAGTAGGGTTTCGAGACTACCAGTAAATCAGTGTAATGAGATGTATTCACCCTATTTCGTGT